GAAGGCTGAGAGGTGATTGTGTGGCCATGTACAAATTCATTAGGGGGATGCAGCAAGGGATCGGAGGTGCTCTGTTTACCAGAGCAACTCCTGGGGTAACAAGGAACAATGGTCACAAACTGAGAGCATCCAGATTTAAGCTAGATATCAGGAAAAACTTCTTCACAGTAAGGGTGGCTAGAATTTGCAACGGGCTTCCAATGGAGGTGGTGCTCTCCCCTACCTTGGGGGTCTTTCAGAGAAAGCTGGATAGGCAACTGGCTGGGGGTATCTGCTGGATAGGCACCTGGCTGGGGTCATCTGACCCCAGCACTCTTTGCTGCCTATGCAGGGGGTCGGACTCAATGATCTGTTGAGGTCCCTTCCGATCCTAGCATCTATGAATCTATGGATCTTCATACATATTCTCACATGCACACATATGTATACATGTATATTGATATAAATACACATACCTTCATATATATTGATACACACTTGCACAAATATTCGCTGCTTGTTATAAACTGATTCACACACACCCCCTACTTTCATATATAATACACACATACACACCTTTATAATATGTACACACACGCACACCCTACTTTCATAAGTAACACACACACAACCTACCTTCATACTTATTGATACACACATACAAACACACTTTCACTATTTGATATAAACTGATGCAATCACACACACATCCCCAAAGCCACACACTTCATACATATTGACATACACACACTTGCCCCTTCTGACAAAGTGGCCCTGTGCAGCCCAGTTTCTCCCCTGGGAGCAGCCTGGCAGGGCTTCCAGTCAGCTCAGAGACTGCCCTGTGCTTATGCCCAACAGATATTTAAGCCCTCATCTGCTCCAGCTCTCAGCTCCTAGCTCCTGCTTCACAGCACCATGGCTGATACCTGCTGTCAGCAGCAGGTAAATATCTTTGTGTAGAAGGGACTATGTGCATGCACACTACCCCCTGTATATTGATTCCTGCACACAGCTCTATACCCAACCCCACACATGCTCACCCACCTCTGCTCATTGTCTGACACACTTCCTGAGACAGTCTCAGATGATCTCTACTTATCCTTGAAGCAATCCCTTGCCCAATACACCTGAAGATCTCCAGTCTTTCCTGACAGGAATGAGTTAACCATGTCCCCAAGGGATAAGCAAATATGATGAACTCTGCTTGTGCAAATGGGGAAACTGTGGCAGAGCTGTGCCCTCTCCATCTTTCACACCTTTAGGCATGTGCTTCACCTGTGTCAGGCCTGGTTTTATACCTGTGCAACTATGAGTGGGAGTCAGGCAGCCCCTGAAATGGATAGGATTTGCCCTGGGACATGAAAGGAGTCAGTATCAGAGCTGGGAAGAAGTCCAGATTCCTGAGAGCTGATGCTGCATTTAAGGTACAGATGCGTCCTCCTCTCAACAGAAGAAATGTACTTATGAGGGTATTCACTGGGTGGGGAGAGGAAGAGGTGAAATTGGCCTGGAGATGCAGCAGGAGGGTTGGAGGTCAACTGGACTATAAGTACCTCCTCTGGCTCTTCTTTCTCCATCTTAGAGAGTCCTCTTGGCTTGGGTTTGGGCAAGATCTCTCTTTGAGTCAGCACTGCTGGCACTCTACTAGGAGAGGGGGTCATGGATTATGATACCAGAAAGGGGCTGTAGGAACACTGCATGCTACAGGATCTCACCCAGAGGCCCCTGCACCCAGCTCAAGGCCTTGTGTTCACCTACATCCAGCCTGCACCTAGAGACACCAAACACTGAGAGAGTCCACCGGGTCCCTCAAGAACTTGTTCCAATAGCAATCCCACCTCACTGTTGTCAGAAATGTGCAGTTCACTTCTTACTTGAATCTGTCCGGTTTCAACACTGGGGTGTTGGTGCTTGTTCTGTCTTTCCCTGCTGGATCAAATAGCCCTTGAGAGTCAAGTAAACTTTTTTTCCTATGAAGGAATTCAGCAGGGCTTCTCTTACACAGCCAGGAAGGTGATCAACATTCTTCATTTGCCAAAATATGGAAATTTTCACAAAAATAGCTTGGGGATTTTTTTAGGAGGGTGGAGGGGGGTTGTTAGAGATTTTTCTGTTTCTTGGACATTATTGTCAAGCCCCTACCCCATTTTTAAATCATGATTGCCATTTGCTTCCCTTCCGTTGTCCATGCAGAGGGTGGTGAAGCACTGGAACAGGTTACCTAGAGAGGTGGTGGAATCTCCAGTCTTAAAGGTTTTTAAGGCCTGGCTCAGCAAAACCCTGGCTGGGATGATCTAGTTGGAGACGGTCCTGCTTTGAGCAGGGGGTGGACAAGGTGACCTCCTGAGGTCCCTTCCAACCCTAATTTTCTATTCTTCTTTTTTTTTGTTTTGTGCAGCTCAGGGAAGGGGGGGGTTCATTTGCATTTTGAAATAGGGATATTTTTCACATTACAAAAATACATTTCAAACAAAAAATTAAAAATGTGCTGATTTCAGTAAGCATGGGGGGTGGAATTCAGTCCATCTTGAAAAGCAGCAGAACAAAATGTTATTTTCTAGCCAGGCCTAATCATCCAAAAAGGAAGCACTGCCGATTTACTTCTGCCCTAACATTTTATTTCATTTTATCGCGGCACATGAACTTTTGGTAAACATATCAAGTCTGAATCATAGTCTTGGTACCTTTTAAAAATTCCATTGTGTTTGAGTCGTATCATTATATGAGTATGTATTTTGTTCCCATTCCAAAAGTTGATCACCACTCATTGCAAGCTGCCCTTAATGTTGACATCATCATACCCAGCTGTTACAAAGCAGGCCAGTTGCTCTCAAAATGCTTTTTAAAGGTGTTTGTTATTGTCATCCCCACTGTTGTGAACTGGGGGTTTATAAGATGTCTTGCATGGTTTCTTGAATTTGTTTTACTACTATGGCATGTGTCGTCTACATATAGGTAACATCAAACTGTGTTCAATCTTAGTGTTCTTATATCTGTATAGACTGTGACATATGATATAAATGTAGTTTTGATACATGCTTATATCATAGCCAAGGCTTTTTTAGTTAGGTAATGATTAACTTAAGTGGCCCTCACCTGTTCACACTTAGAAGTAATCCTGAGATTTAGCATTTAACCTAGGATTGTTGACTTATCACCTTTGCATACCTGCTCTGAGGCACAGTAATCAGGCTATGATGAAGCAATGGTGAATTTACATTTTAAAATAAAACATTCTAATATAAAGTAGCATCTTGAAACAAAGAGAACATTTCTCACTGAGGGGAAATTAGGAGAGAGAGAGAGTGAGTATATTGGATTAGCAAATCTAAAAGACTTCACATATTCTCCTAGTCTTAATAAAATCAGGAAAATCTTGTAGTTTGAAAAACCCTTACCTTCGGGGAGCAGGAAGTCACAGGTACAGTTTTAGCCCCCCCTTAGAACCAATGGGTGACATGTGAATAGCCAGAGGAAAAGATACTAAAGCCTGGCTTGAGAGCATAGGTGAGTCCAGAGCATAGGTGTTTCCTGGGTATAGAGGAATGCTGGAGCCTCCCAGCTGGTGAGCTGGATGGAGACTACGTTCTTGGATTCAAGGTCCAGGATAAAAACAGGTTATGGTTTTGATATCTTCTTTTGTTTATTCTCATAAGACTTCATCTCAACATATGGTTAGTGATTTTTTGTGCAGGTTCTTGCTTTTTATAATAAATCCTTTTTGGTAACCATTTTACCCACTTATTGTCAGTGTTAACTGTGATTCCAGAGTATGTAACCACACAGGCCTGCCCATTCTACAGAAAGAGAGGTCCATCTTTTCTGAGCACATGCCTGGACAAGAGTGTGATCCTTCTAGCTGGCAAAATCCCCTCTATTAAGGGCTGGCAAGGCCTGAATGAAATGGGTAGGGCTGAGGCACCACAGGCCAAGGAGTTGGGCTCCGGCATGTCTAAGCTGGTTCTTAGTGGGCAAGCAGTAGATGGCAGAGAGGGGTTTGGCACAGAAGGGTGCTCCAAAGGTGTGGAAACATCCCAGGGGTGTATGTCAGAAGTGAACCCAGGCTACATTTGGGGCAAGGGCATGTTACATCCATATTACAGAGGGGGGGGAAAATCACTCATTTTTTCCCAGCAAGAGGATTCCCCACAATCTGTTCCCACATGCCACAAATGCTGGAGGATATCTGCCATCTTCAGAACCCAAGTGAGACAAACACATTGCTAGCAGAGTCAAAAACCTCACAGTTCTCACCTTGCCCTCCGCAGTTTAAAGTCTTGTGTCCTTGCCAGCCATGAATTAATCACCACGAGTGACATCTGTTGCAGGTGGGTTGTTTTCTCTCTCCACTTGCGGGGAACTGTGTGTACAGTGAATTGATCTCTTTTGGTAGGGTTTTATTTTTGTGGATTTGAGGGGTTTTTTTATATATATCCAGCAGGCAACTCTCCAACAATTGAGCTAGGACCACAAGCCAAAAAAACCCACAGAGACTTAGCATCCAAGGCTTTAGGTTGTTTTTTCCTTTATATTTAATAAAAGTAACAGAAAAGTAACAAAAGGGGTCACTCTCGCTGGCAGGTGGGGAAATGGGGGGAAGAATTATCTCGGAAATAAAATCAACAGAGCTCTGGAGGGAGAATCTAAATACACAGCTGAGAAAGGGACTAAGAATATAAAAGAGTCAGTACAAAAAAAGTCTAAAAATAAGGAGAGGAGCAGAAAACACTACCATTCATCATGCCAGTCAAACAGATGTGAAAAGACAGACAGACAGGGCAGGACAGATGGTGGATGTGGGTCTCTTCATTTTCAATCACAGGTCAACTTCTTCCCTGGTGTAAACAGCCCATGTTCTGCTGAAAGGGGATGGGACTGGACTGGTCTGCACCAGTAGAGAATCACAACATGTGCATTTTGTAGCCATGGTCATGGGTGCTTCATTTTCTGTCAGGCTGCCCCTGGCATTGCCCTTATGTGGCACCCAGACTGTGA